TAATTACAGCGAATAAAAATGAAAACTAGTTGAGAAAAAATGACTGATGCATACAGTACCTGTATTTATGAAATATATATGAAGTTGAAATAAAACGTGTGGGAACATCAACAAAATCCAGTTTTATTTTCTGCGCAGGAATTATTTTGTCAATTATCCTCAATTTCAGTTTATGGCCTTCAATTTGTAAGCGCCAATTAATTGAATTTCCGTTTCAGATTTTTATACTGTACAGTATATATTTTTGTATATACGATTACATACAGCATGTGCATAAAAAATTATTACTTTTCTCGAGCTGAATTCGCACGCAGAAAATGTGGCGCTGCATTTCGATAGATTTAAAAACGTCGGCGCGGCGGAGAATTTATTCTATTTATAGTTTTTTTTTTCGCGGAAATTTGCTGGTATTATTCCTGCAAATGAGAATGCCTTTCCCCTCGCAGAAAATGTTCCCAATTTCTTTTGCGGGTATTCTGCCGCATCAGTTTTTTTGTTTTCCTCTCACTGAAATTACTGTGCGCATATGTAACACGTACCTGGGTGCGGCGTAAATACGGTGTGCGGTCGTTTCCGTATATACGCCGCCTTATTGATAAACGCCTCGCAATCATCGGTCTGACAACAGTCCTTTTGGCCTCAGAAAAATCGACCTCGTTCGAATTTTCGAGTAAAGTTTTTTTTCTCATTTCATTGGAGTTATCTCTTTTTTTTTTCTATATCTGATTTGATCGACAGGTACTTACGCTGGCACTCCGACGGTGATCAATTGGGTGGATCCGGGCCGAGGCGAGACGCGGATCCGGACGAAACTCGCCTGGGGGGCGCAGATCTCGAGAAAGAAGCAAGACTTCAGGGTCGTCGAATTCGACTTGCCGCCGTATTCGAGACTGCAAATCACACTCGACGGCTCTGTGCAAACCCGACGCAGGCCCTACAGTGCCAAACTCACCACGTTCTACGCCTCCAACTCGCAAAAGTCCCGCAAAATCCGAGGGCACTTTTTGGACGAAGACCTGGTTTCTGTTGAGGTTCGCTTTTTTTTTTTTTTTTCTCGGGACTCAGGAGTCTTTTTTTTTGCAGAAGAGATAAAAGCGGATTAAAAGGGTTGGAGGATAACCAACGATTGTTCGATCGATTGCTTGTCCGACGACATGTACTTTAAAGCTGACGATCATTTTAGATCCATGCCCAAAATTGGTATTTCAAGAAAGCATAATATCAGGTGTTCAATTCTATTTTTCTTGTATGTCGAGCTTTAACGAGTTAAATATCTCCTTTTGGTCTACAGTACCGTAGTGTTGGAAGAACGAGAAACGATGTTTGCGAAATGAGTTCGACGAAAATCGTTGATGATTTCCAGAAGCTAGTATGTTTCCTGTGATTGAGCCGGGATATCTGTTGGGGAAACGCCACGCGAAATCCGGTCACCACATAAAAAACCGCGCAGCAAGCCGAACACAATAAAAACCCATACGCAAAAAACCGCGCGAAAATCTTGATAAGAGTTCCAACCCTCAAAGGGAAGGAACTCACCGAAAACCAGAAACCGATTTCCGTTTTTCCGATTCCACGGAGAACAAAAAACCTCACTTGCATTCGAACTTTTGAGCTGTGCACATTGTTGTGAAACCGCGAAATTTACAAATCTTGTCTGAGTTCTGTTGAGTGTTGTAATTCTTCAAGAATTATTTGTGTGTTGTTCTTGTGGGACAAATTGAAAATATATTCTAACTTAAACTAGGGAAACCGAAAGGTTCCCCGGCCTCGTCCCANTTATTTGTGTGTTGTTCTTGTGGGACAAATTGAAAATATATTCTAACTTAAACTAGGGAAACCGAAAGGTTCCCCGGCCTCGTCCCAGGCTGATTCTGTCTTTTATTTTAAAAATTTAGAAACTTCATTTTACAAATTTGATCCATTTGAAAAACTAAACAAATTTATGTTGAGGTAAGTTCTTCCCCAACAATATCGAACTACTGTATATGCAGTACATATATGCATCATCACATGCAATGCTTCCTCATTAAATTTGACGACGTTGATTTGACTTTGAAGGTGCGGAAGGAAAAGTTTCAATTGCTGCGAGTGGAACCGGGGGTTTCGACGGACCAGTCGATACTCGACGCGGAACGGCTCCAGTCGTCGATCGAGATCGACGTTCGCAATGCAATCACGTCAGTGTCGCCCCCTGACACTGACACCAACGCCATTCCGAAGGTACTATCGTAAGAATAATATCGAGAATGTCTTTTACAATGTATGCAGTACAACCCTATTTCTTATTGTTAAGTAAAGCGCTATAATGTAATCGCTGAAAAGCCGACATCAAGTTCTTCACATTCGAGTCGGAGTGAGAATATACCTTTCGTCCACATATTATTGGAGGCTATCAAAGATCAGAATCCTCTTTTTCTTGAAATATTTTCGAGGATCACTTGAATCTTCTGGTAATTCCCTGACGTTCATTTCTTCATGTGCATTCCTTACTCGGTTATTTAAATCAATTCAGCAAGCTGTTCGGCACAGAGCTTTCCAACTGAGTCTAAATGTGCACCATCATGACAGTCATCCCAACAGCCATAACCAATCGCCGCATTCCTTTTTCGGATATGTATGTGGCACGTGAATTTAAAAGATGGAAAATACAGAAGCAAATACAACTCCCACTAGGGAAAATCCTTGAGTTTTAAGGGATTTGTTTTAGATATTCAGATAATAAAATACAGTATTTTTTTACGACTTTGATAAAGGTGCAAGAGCACGAGGACGACTCCGCGCGGGTGTTCTGGGACCTGAAGCAAGGAGCCGCGGGATCCGTGGAAGACGACACCACCTTCTGGGAAACGGTCATTAACTCCGGATGTCCGCGGAGTAATGCACGCCTAGGTGTCGCTCCACTTGCCTGGCAGCTGGTGACTTTTTTGGCTGCTTGCGCATTAGCAATTACGAGCAAGAAAACGATGTGCTTGTGATTTGGTGCTACTGCTACTGCTGCTGATGATCATAACTGCTGAAATCTAAGTGGTGGTGGTGGTGAAAAAAAAAAATAAGGAAAAACAGAGAAAGGGCTTCTGAGATGATTCAGTGAGTTTCGTTGGTGCTTGCCGTGAAATGCGATTGTTCCTTTTCGTTCGGTACTTCCAAATGATGGTGGAAAATGGTTCATATAGGTATTAAATGTTTGAAAAAATATCTTTTTTCTGTAACTGTATCTTCCGGGATTTTTCTTAATCGTTTAACGTGGTGACGAAAGATCACTATTTGTTGAAAAGTTAGAACATATTTCAATTTTTTCCTCGATGAAAACTACGAGGAAACTACTGACTTGAGGAAAAATGATTCATCCGAGATTACAATTTTAAATTCCTTGCAACCAGATTTTTCAGCCTATGCTGAGGACTTAATATTAACATAACAGTACTGTATTCGCGTTTAATTTGCGAATACTGATTACTGAATAATACTGAAAATTCATTTTCCGGACTCTAAACAACAGATCCAAAGAAATTATACCGAAATCAGCATTTCGCCTATCATCTAGTCAAAAATGCTTCCAGAAAATCGCGTGCGTGAGGTTTTGTCAATTAATTAATCCGTCGATATCGTTTCAAGTGTTAATAAATGCTTAAATTACTGAATATGTGAGAAAATATTCTTGCTGACCAAAATGTTCGTCCTTGAAGTCGTACCTTATTGATGTGTCCCGACGATGAGTTTATCGTCTGGTTTTTGTCCATCACTCACGCCTTACATACCTTCGATTCGTCGTTTTGCTCTTAATTGATGGCTAAAAACGTTCGTGTCCGATTTTTTTTGCTTGTTTTATAATTAAGAATCATATCCTGCGCCGATTTTAATGACGGGTTGAATGTTGATATATAATTCACCTTCGCCAAAAAGAGGGGTTAAAAAGGACGAGGCGGGAGATACAAACTCGCGATTTTATTTTGCAAGATGAAAAATATATACTATACGTGCGCTGCGAAAACTTTCTGCTCCCAAGTGATGATCCGTGTCCTGAAACTTGGGATTTTGAGTGTCGGCGTTTGAGTGTGTAGAACACAAAAGAAGTGTGTGAAACCATCATTTGTGTTTCATCGTGGGTTCGATGTGTGTGCCGAAGGAGGCGATGATGACGAGCGATGAGAAAAAAAGAGGATGATGATGAATAATTATGATTGATTGGCTCTCGATGAGATGGACGAGGAAAAATCTCGTCTGTTTTCTATAGTGATGGCGGCGCTCTAAAAGTCACAGGACAGAGTCCGTTATTTTTGTGAGCCCCGGAATACGACCGATTTTTGTACGCGGATTGACAGTTTGGGTGTCGCTGGGAATCGACGGATGTTTACGTGGATAGTGGAGAATTAAAATGACCTGGAACTTGAAAATGTCCATTCTTATTTCTTCAAAACGCTTACTATTTCGGCTAGAATGCTAAACCAGTGTTCCTCAACCCGTGGTCCGCAGAAGGTTTTTGTCAGTCCATGGGGAATTTTCTCCAGCACAATAAATTTATTGAAAGTAGTAACAGAGTCTGTTATATTTTCCAAACATTTTGGAGAAACAATAATGGCAATTGAATTAATCTGATGAAAAAGGGGGGCTTTTCTCCTAATGATGCTTCAGGCAATAGTTTTCACCTGGCTGCTGAAATTAATTATTTTTATTCCTTATTCTGAGGAGCCCTTCTTATTTAAGCCCACATTTCTAATTTTTTTTAGACATTCCACTATAGCTGCTTTATTGGTGCTTAACTTACAGGAAAGCAAAACTTTTTAAAAACGTGACATAAAGTCTTTCAAACAAAACTTTTTTGAGTCTGCAAGAATTTTATGAAACTTTGCTAGTCTGCAGATAATGTTGTGGAAATTTGATGGTCTGAAGGTCCAAAAAGGTTTGGGGAAGAGTATGCTAAACCATCAAATTGGGACTTTTGAATCCCAAACTCTCCTCCAATTGCACCAAAGAATAATGATCTAAATGAAATGGAACATCAGTCAGTTAAATAACAAATGTTTTTATTTTGTAAACTTATATTTATTCCTTTTCACATATATATTTCAATCTCCAAGGGACCAGCAAAAATTAAACTTGAGGAGTTTTTGAGTGGAGGAAACTAGCATTTTGCTTTTGCTGGGAAAAATATAGTTCAGTTGAACCTCTCTAAGTTTAATTTTTAGGGACCAGGAAAAAAACTTGACTCGGGGAGGTTTTGACTTTGGGAGGTTTCAATGCAGGGGTTCATTTGCTTAATTAGTCTTTCACTTCATTGCAAGATGCTTAAAATCATTGGGTATTTTCTTCCATATTTTAAGGAAATAGTCACCAAACGGCCTTAGAAAATTCAACTAACAGAGGTTTGGGAGAAAAATACTTTGAGTTAGAGAGGTTTTTTTAATCCATTGTTTTCAAGGGAATTCAGACAGGGACTTGAAAAAAATTGAGTTAGGGAGGTATTTGACTTACAGAGATTCAGCTGTAACACCAAAAGTTAAAATTGGTGGATATTAGGCTTTGAACTGATTTGTAAATGCTGATTTGACAGGATGCTGGACTGTAGAAGCAAGGGTTTATTTTGCTTATTTATTCACTCAATTTCTTTGAAAAGCATCAAGTTACACCTTTAATCATTTTTCTATATTCCTGGAATGCTGGGTCCCCAAAATATTCTTCCAAGACTTCCAAAAAATTATCATTATTCTATATAGAGATTTGTGAAAAATTCCTTAAGTTTTGGAAGTCTGTAATGCCTTGTTCCCAAGAGGATTCATTCATAGACAGAAGAAAAATTTAAAATAGGCCAGGTTTATTTTTTTACTTCACAAGGTCTAATTTTTGACATACTGTATTTAATTTCTAATGAAGCGAGTTGAATATCAAGAGGCAAATGAACCTTTTAAGAATTATTTGACCTATTTATGTTGAATTACTGCAGCGCAAAATAAAATTTATCCCATCAGGCCAGTCTGAAAAGCTATATACCTTCACTTATATTCAATTACCGTATATAGTCGTAAGGCTGAAACACTTTCGAATTATGAATCAAAGTCAAGTCAAGAAGTGTACTTGGAAAATCACCAGATCGAGAGGTATATTGGACTTGCATTTTTTTCCCCAATGAGGGAAACGGATAAGTCGCAATCAATATAAGACAAAGAGTTAATGACGTTCCTCATTTCGGCAACACTGCATTCGGGCAAACCTTCACAATGAATACCTTCTTTCGAAGATATGCTGAAGCATCACTCGTCAGCTTTCATCGAGATTCTTAATTGCTGTGGAAAATCCGAAATGCGTGACGGATTTGAGGATTGACATTGAGCAGGGATTTACTGGCTTTGAATTTCCTCCATTTAATGCCCTCTGGCAAAAATTGACGACGACGGAATCAACCTCTGTGATTCAACATTTTTTCCTAGAAATAAATATACTCCCCATACCCTCTTATTCCTTTTACACGTAAATAGTTATTCCGATCGAGTCAGTGTTCATTACTATTTTATCTTTTCAAGAAACTCTCGTTTCTAAGAACATTTCATTTAATTTTCCGAGTATATAAATACTGTATAATAACACACCAGCAACAGCAGGGGATTATAATCGGTCCAAATGGGGGCTTGTCCTGCGAAGCAATCAGTGCTGGAGATTGACGATGAAGAGAAGGAAGTGTCTGCAAGGAGTGAAAGACAATTGTGCAAAACTCTTCCGTATGTGAGGAAAGCCACTGAACCCAACACGTCCATTATTGGACCCGTTTGTCCCGAGAGGATCCGTTGCCCGTGTAGACATGCTGACGAAAGAGTGGCTTTGGAATCCCGGAAACCTGCGACTCTGGTTTCAAGGCCGTGTGGAATCAGGCCCTTTTTGCAGCAAGAGAAACAACCCAGGAACAATAATTGGTGAAACCCATTCCCGTGATAACTTTTGCGATTGTGAATGAGCAGCATATACCGAATGTTATGCAACTTAGCTCACTTTTAATTAAAGTTAAGATTTAGACACTTGAAATAAGTAGGGGCAACCTTGATAACTCAAACCCCTCATAAAGTTGATCTTTTCAGGTGAACCTCAATAAGTCAAGCATCCCTAAGTTGTATTTTTTGCAAGTTGAAGTCCCTGTCTGAATTCCCTTAGAAACAATGCATTAAAAACTTCTATAACTCAAAGTGTTTTTCTCCCAGATCTATGTAAGTTGAATTTTCTGAGGCCTTTTGGTGACTATTTCCTCAAGATATGAAAGAAAAATTGATTTAAATTATGTAATGCATCTTGAAAGGAATTTAAAGACAAAAGTGAGCCCCCAGATGCGGACATAATTGGTGCATCAAGAGTGTCCCTATGTCGGATTGTCCCCAAGTCAAATCTTGTTTTCCCATAGACTTACATTGTATAATTTTTAATGTCTGCAGTGTTAACTGAGGATCCTATAGGGGTCTGGGGGAACTTTAATAAGGATGTCTTGTAACATGTGTCTGTGGCACCAACTTTTAGCAGGTTTTCCTTGGCATGGGAAAAAAATTAGGGTGCAGTGAAACGGTTGTGGAGGTACCTGGTTCAATCCCACCAGGTGTAGGACAATTCCCCCGATTCTAATTCCCCCACCTCTATTTCCCCAGGATAATAATCCCTGATTTTAAAATCCCCGGTCACAAAAATCCCCGAAATTAAAATGCCCAATTTTTAAAATCCCCGAGTGTTATTTTCCCTGATTTTAATTTCCCTGCTTTTTGTTGAAATCCCCCATAATAAAAATCCCCAATGTACAATTTCCCCCAAAAATAAAAAACTGATGGTTGGACAATTTTTTTTTCTTATTTCTGAGTGACAAAATTTGAATTTAACAAGTATAATTGAATAACAATTAAAATAACGTAAAAATGAAAAAAGGTAAATTTGAAAAAAAAAGAAACAAAAAAGTAAAAATTGAAAAAAAACAAAAAATGTAAAAAAAGCCGCATCAGCAATAAAAAAGTATTAATTGTATCTCAGTTTCACTGCTTTAGCTGTTTCCTTCAAAAAAATTTCCAGACTAATTTCGTGCCTGTTGAAAAATTGACACAGATTCTTCAGGTTGGCATCCCTCTTCTTCTGCTCACCTCAGGGTAGAAAAAGGGATTTGAGGATGAAGTTGGGGAAAAATCCAATTTTTTTTTCTTTTTGCACAGAAAAATTTCGTGGGAAAATGAAAGAAATCCTATGCTAAGCAATGGGCTTATTCTTGGATTAATCCCAACTTTGCCTCAGCCCACCTGGAAGGTCTTTTCTGACCTTCAGAAAACTTGAAACACCACAGCATACAAAAATAATCCAATTTTGGCCGAATTTTTTTCATTTTTGGTGATATTTTGTGTATTTGGGGATTTTGCATTTTCGGGGATTTTAGCAAATGGGGATTTTTATTTCGGGGCAATTAGACACCAGGGGGAATAAACGTTGGGGATTTTAAAAATCGAGATTTTAGGATTGGGGATTTTAGAGCAGGGGGAATAGAGGCGGGGGAATTAGAATCGTGGGAATTGTCCGTTTCCCAATCCCACCCCTTGGCACATTTTTTTTTAGAAAATGTTTCCTATTTTGATTTGAACTTCCTCCAGCCAAAAAAATTCCAAATTTGTAGAAATGCATTGTGCATCCAAGAACAATTTTAAAATTGAAATTGCTCCAAAAATATTATGAGTTAAACTTGAAAGTCCAAAAATTTTTTGTTTTCCAACCTTCTCAATATAAAAATTCACCATATGACTTCTGCTCAACAAAACTCTACCTTTTTTATAGGGTGGATGCGCAATGAAGTTCTGCACATTTCCCCATTTCCAACTTTGAAAAATTCCAAAAATTTACTGAGATATAAAAAAATGCGGACCTTTTTCAACAAATTGAGTGAAAAATGGGAAAATTCCTTTTTAAATCTCAATTTTTAACTGATCAAATTGAAAACCCCATGTCATTGCAAATACAGCTGCACAAAATTTTTTAATTCAGGAAAATAAAAAAAAATCAATTTTTAAGTTCTTCCAGCCAAAAAAAATCCAAATTTCCAGAATTTCACTCAGTATGTAATGATGATTTCAAATGTATGTTATGTACGTATGTATGTATGTATGTATGTATGTATGTATGTATATTTTGCTACATTGGGGCAC